AAGGTCTGCTCTATCTCCCTCCCTCGGCGGAACTTGGGACCGTTGGGAAAAACTTCTGCAAAGTACGACCCCTCCAAAAATTTCCTCCTCGGCAGGGTCTCCACCTCACTCTACACACCACCTTCTTACCATTTGCCGGAGTTAGTCCCAAAAGAACTGCTGTCGAGTGAGGGGGTGTCGTGTCAAAAGGGGAGCAATCAAGATAGGGCAAAAGACTACGACCAAGAACATTTTTCTCAAAAGCAAATACGCCCCCCCCTACTTCAGCGACTAAATACGACCCCCATCGCCGAGCTTAGATATCACATGCCCTGATTGGTACCGTTTTGTAGTGTGGTCGTTCTCTGATGGCAAAACTGAAACCCTGGAAATGGCTGGAGAACCGCTCCATGTTTTTCAGATATCGATTACTGCCGACTGTACAATGGACGTCCTCTTCGGCGTCAGTTGAGTGTCTGGGTTAAGATCGGTGGCGCACTTCGGCGACAGTGTAGGGGGGGGGGCATTTCGCGCTTTCGCTACTTCTTTAAATTCTCTGGCTTCACAAGATTTCACAGGCCTCCACTTGCTGGCCCGATTCGCCCATGGGAAGTGCAAGTGTGCAAAATGCCCCCTCCTCAACGCATCGCCGGACTCCGCATATCATTTGACCTTCAAACCATAATCAGTTGCTCCATTAAACCCTGATTTCGAACGTGCAAAATCTCTTATCACTTTGCTGACTTGCAAAGGGCAATAACTGTTCCAGAAAAAGTTTTTACTGCATTCGCAGAACAGACAACCGCTGAGACATGATCGCTATACGGTTGGCTGCATCAGGGAACTGCAGTACGAGCGAGAGGAAGGCTCTCGAAGCATCCTTTTTATGCAGTCTCGACGTCGTCCGTCTTCAGTAAATTAAGCGTCGCGCCTTAACGAAGCGCTGTGCTAGCCAGCCAGCGGGGTGTCAAGTCCCATTATTCGACGGACTATTACTGTGTTGACAACCTTAACCATACACTGATGTAAACAAGTACTTGAGCCGATTATCTCTATTTACCTTTGCATGTGCTAGATAACAGTCAAAGATGGATCCCATCTTATCTAGATACATACTTCATAAAAAATGATCGTAAAGTCCTTCAAAAAATCGATCAATGTTGGGGAGAACGCTTGCCCGCTGAGAAAAAAAAGGGAGACGTTGGAACGAGCACGTGAAAATCGCAAGCATTTTGTTAACCGGCTGAAAACATTCGCTAAGAAGGGACATTTGGTTGTTGCGACTTTCGTTAATAATTCAAGAGAACGGTTTTTGCCCTCGGAAAGAATGCCCTTCACTAATTAGCCTGGAAATGAATGCCACAACGATTCCATCGTGGCTCTCATCGTCCTTCGCTCACTGCCTGCTCTTCAATGCAAATAACTCGTGTCGTCGGAATCGACGTGCAATGTTGCGATCGGAAACGCCTGGGAAAATGCCGCCATGCCGCAATCCCGTCAACGAGCGAGCGCTTCTTAGCCATGTAGAAACAGGTGTTCATAGAATTGTTTAGACTAATTCGAAAGTTGAAGGTGAACAGTGGAATATTTCAGATTTAAAAAAAACAGAATTAAAAGTTCAAATCTACTGTGATTGCTGTGTTTTTCACTGCCAAACATCAATCAGTCGGTAATTCCGTGGCTTGTCTACCTTTCGTGTACCGTACCCTTTTCATAGGAATGCTGATTAATTAAAAAGTCAGACCCTAGGCGGGACTCGAACCTCCATCTCCCACTGACAGGGCGAATGCGCCACGAGGGTGTGCACTTTTGCGCCTTGTCCACGCTTCCGTTCTTAACCGCTTCATGAACGATGTGAAAAATATTAAGAAGGTGAAGAAATTCCGGCGCAAACATAGCTGGGGTAGGGACATTCAGGCGCTCCTCTGCGTCTTCTTCCTGAACAAAGGCTCAGGCTTAGAGCGCAGACGACCATTTACTGATTAACACTCCTGAGGTGAGATACATTTTTTTCCTTGAGTCACAATTTATGGAAAGGAGACCAAGTCGCCACCAAAGCCTATCCCGTTAGTAGCCTCAGAATCTCTTGAAAGTCTCGGAACCTCCCACAACAAACTTCCCCTCCCAAAACAAGGTGACGATTGAAACGTTTTGCCAGTGAATTCAATCCACTCAGAACCGCGTTGGCGCGGGTATGTGTCGATTTCACAGTGGGTCCCACAGAACTGGGCGTGTCTCGCGAAGCCGCAGCCTTCGCGTACGAGATGTGTTTTCCCATGGCTCGCTCAACTATCAAAGGATCCATCTCGCGTTTACTCTGAAGGACACGCCGTGAACAGGAGCAAGTCCCCTGCTCCAACGACGCTCGTGTGGACACCGTAATGCATCTCGGACATGTCCGCGTAACCAGCCGCGCGCGATGTGAGCGGCGCGACTCGTTAGCTCATGGTAGAATAGCCCGTCTCCCATCAATGCAGAGCACTTTTTCACCACAAAAAGGATTGACAAGTTGGTTGGTGATTAACGAGGAAATATTCGAAGGACTCTTGCGGAAAACTGGGAAATAAAGACGCTAGCCTACGTCAGGGACAGATAGAGCTGAGGGAGGGTACTTTCCTTGCGCAAAAAACGCTGAACTCATCTATTTGCGTGTTATGACAGGGAGTCCCTCGTATGTCCCATCACCGCTGAGCTAACTTGCCCCTTGTTATTGTTGCTTTAGACTCAAGACAATCTATACGCTTTCCTACAAGGAAGATCTATGGACTGTAAGGTGAATAGGTTCGCAGCTGTAGACGTGTGCCACTTTTGACATTGGTAAAGGTGACTAAATGGGGCTCTAGCATAAAGAAAGATGTATGTCGTTTGGGCCTCCGCCCAACGTCTGCAAGGTGCAGCATTTGCGTCGATGCCAAGGTACCGCAGCAAACAACATGTCTGTCGCGTCCAAGTATAGAGAGCAATCAGATGTGAAAGGGCACAAAGCGCGTAGCGCGAAGGGTCACGTGTCTCCTGCTTCGCTTGTGGGTGGAGCCCCAAATGGCATCCAGCTGTCACTACCCTCCAGCCTCATTCAAA